AGGTACAAAGATTAGAAAAATAATTTCCACAAAATCCCAAAGGGATGCCAAATATTGACGAGCAACAAGTGTTATTGTTGGCAGACATTAAATGATCACAACGGAGCAATCATGTCTGATCACGACAAGTGTTAAAGAAATTACTAGAATTATCCAAAATGAACAGACTCAGAGGCCAAGGGACGCCGAATGGGCACAGGGACGCCGAATGGGCACAGGGACGCCGAATGGGCACAGGGATGCAAAATGACCACAAAGAAACAGAAAACCTCTATAAACAGATGCAAGATGGTTACTAAACGTTGTTCAAAGGTCTACAACGTGAAAAGTAAAAGATGTAAAAAGAGCTCAAATCTCTTTATCTCTCATTTCTTCTGTGAACACTCATTCCCGTCACCCTTCGCTCTCCTGCTACAAGTTCAAGCACAAATTTCGAAATGTGTTCTAGGAAAATATCGTCTGCTCTCAACTATAGGAAATTACAATCATTCATCACAGAAGTAATTCCTGGCATGAGTCAAACATCCATCTAAACAGCTTCTCTGCAATCCAACAAAAACAAAATCCCCTCATTTAGTTTCACTTTTCATGTTTGTGAAGATAAAGTGTTGAAATGAGTCGGAGGAGTTTCCACTTCACTCTCAGCCCTGCAGGCTCTCGCTCTGCTCGCACATTTGAGGAGTTTTCTCAGGATAAATGACGAGATTAGCCTGCATCATGTGGTGCGGAGCCCCGAGTTCAGTCTGAGGTGGAGATTAAAGAGTTGCTCTCTGATGTTGTTGCACTGTCTCACACTCACCTGTGCACGAAAGCACAGACGGCCCCCGGCGACCCACAGAGGAGCCACACTCCCCCCAATTACAGAGATTTGTGCTCTTTTTGCAGTCACTTTGTTTTTGGATGTTTTTGTGTCTTTGTGGTCTCTTTTGTGTTGCTGTGTTGTCTCATTGTAGTCCACAAGCTTCCTAATCTGCACCTCCAGCTTGCTTTGTGTGTCAGTTTAGCCTGGAGTCGATCTGCGAGGTGTGTGTTTCTGCTTTATTTGTTTGAAAGTGTGTGTTTCGTTGTTCAGGCTCAGCAGCAGGATGAGGGGAGACTTCCTGTATTGAATTACTCACACTGTGAGGACAGATTGTTGAGTAAAAGTTCAGCTGCAGAGGGGAGGATTGTCACATGCTCCTGAAATAAAACGGACCAGGTTAGCCTATTAAATTAAACCTTATCTCAACATTCTTTAAGGTGCAACGAGAAACCCCGAAGACCCCGAGGACATCGATTTAAATGATCCACAAAGGAGAACAGCATGAATGTGAAGCACACAAAAACCACAAGGAGATGTCAAACATTTAGAAAGAGGATGCACAATGACCACAAGGCTGGAACTTTAAAAGATGAAGGAGTGAAGAAATGCCCTTTAAAGGGAAACAGCCACAGGAAGGATCAGAACATTTACGAATGGATGCACAATGGCTGACAGACGCAAACGAGCCAAAGTTACGAGAAAATGATGGAAAATCATTACAAGATGCACCCCCACCCCGCCTCCCGGGATGCAACTGTGGAGGCTTCAGAGGCCTCGTGCATCAAAACAGGGAGTCGTGTTTGTCTAAGAGTCGCGTCCAGCAGCACAGACGAGGTCGTGAAACGTGAAAATACGAACTCTGAGAGCTGCTGGTGCCACCGTTCACCAGAGTCAATGGACAGGAAGTCCTGAGATAAACACAGAGCAGCTGTTTGCTTCAGCTTTCAGTCGACCAGTAAAGTGTGGACGCTCTCTGCAGTCACACAAACTGACGACCTAGACGACCCTGTCCGACACACAGCCCTGAGTCCTCACATACTGTGGTCGGTCGGTGAGGTAGTCCAAAATCCAGGTAGTGAGGTGATGGTCCACTCC